GAATACTTAATTGCCCAATTATAAAACTAATTTAAGTTAGAAATTTCAAATTTTCCATGTAATAAATTGCGTACTCAATCATTCATAGCGGCTCAATCAATCTGTCTATAAGGTATATTGTACTGGTACTGTTTGCATCTGCGAATTAGTGTACCATCAGCAAATGTCGAGTAAATGAATTTAAATATTGCGCTTCCATTATTTCGTAATCATGAGTAACACTTTTGACTTTTACTTTATTCCCGTATCGCAAAAGTCTGAATCTTATAGTGTCTGGTGGTTATGCGCGTGAGACTCTCAAGCCTGAGACCCACTCGTACTTATTCATTGTAAGAAAACGACATGTCTTACTTAGCCAATTTCATGATTCTTAAGGTGCGCTTACACGAGGGCAATAATTGCTTGGCGCCGCAGCAAGAACAATGTCGTCCATAGCGAGCGAATACTGAAATGCTCGTGTAGGACAGTATTGCCTAATAAAACACTATTTTGACCGGATTGAAGTTATGTATTATTATAAATTTACAACTATTTAACATAATTTTAAATTTATCCGACGTTTCGCGTGCTTTACAGCGTGCGTGGTCACCGTGACCACGCACGCACGTAAAGCAAAGATAAATTTAAAATTATGTTAAATAGTTGTAAATTTATAATAATACATAACTTCAATCCGGTCAAAATAGTGTTTTATTAAATGAATAAAAGTTATGTTAATCAAAGACAACAGTATTGCCTAGTTGATGAAGTTGCGCCATAACGCTTAACATTGTATTGCGCAGTATTGATGCTTGTTGCCGTTGCCGTAAATTGCTTGATGTAATCGTGACGTCATAGTTGACGAGTATTGACTGGAATTGAGCAATTTTAGTTGCCCGTATAAGCTCACCTTTATATAAACAAAAAATGATCAGTAAAACAAATGCAAGCTGACATTAAGTACCATAAGTGGTCATAGGGTCACATTACTTAAGTAGAATAATACAAAGATTACAATAATTTGGTTGAAATTTAAAAGCAAATCATTTACTCTACCTAATTTAATTTGCTTCAGAAACAAGAAACACAGCTAATTTATTTTTGTTTACTAATTTTGTCTGTTTAAAAATAATTCTGCTGATAGTACCTCTAATCACAGTCAGTAAATATTGGTTGAATGGATAGTTCTATATTCTTGTAGTGTTAATCAAGAATCGGAATCCTTTGATGCTACTAAATAATCGTTTCCATACACAAGCGTGACTCTTTTACGTTTAATTATATTCATAAGCGGTTTGTCCAGCCGTGCGACTGGACACTTATTTTTGTATATAATTCGACAAAAAATAATCTCTGTCTCTTAAGGATAATGTAGCATTGTGATGGTGAAGGAATTTTTGGAATCGGTCAGGTAGTATTTTATATATTTTATGAGTATTGAAACTAGAATCGAAAGATATACATATTTATAAACATTTCTACCAATAAGAAAACTCGGAAATCGATCTACTATGGTGGTGGGTACACTACATTATTAATTAAATAAACAGTTTATTAAGAAACGTATTCGCTTTTTAATGGTTCATTTTCTTGGCGTTTATTGTCTTCACTTAGACAATATTTGTAAAGACCGGTTCTAAGCGAATATGTGTTTTATAAATTGTAAAGAACAAGCAACTTACCTACAAAATTTAAAGTCACAAGAAAGCATCGGGCAGTGTAAGGCTAGCTTTCAATTCGTTCAAAGGACTTATAATAATAAATCCTACTAATATTATAAACGCGAAAGTTTGTAATTATGGATGGATGTTTGTTACTCTTTCTTAAAAACTACCGAATGGATTTAATGAATCTTTACAATAATATAGCAATTTATAAAGATAGTGTGTGAATTGTACAAAATATCAAGTAAGTAGGAAAAAAATTACTATCTGCGAGCTATTCTGGCGTGCGCTGCCAAAACCGCTAGTATAATGTATGATGGAAATATTTATCTTAAATAGTCTTCTTCAAAAATCCCGCCACAGCATATATCTATATCTTATGTGTAAGCCATTATAGCCAAAATTGTGAACCATAACTACAATAAAAATTGATAATTTATTTCAAATGCACATTTGGTAGTAATAAATTGATTCCTAGATGAAAATAGATAATTTTATCGCTTCTGGTATTTAAAGTAAATAAATAAGATAAAATATGTCTTTCATGCTACATCATTTGGACAAATATTATTTTAATCCTGCGCAGACGAAGTCGCGGGTACCAACAAGTTACTTGAATAAATTATACCTCTGAGCTCAGCCTGAGAAAACCGCCGTGTGAGTTCGAAAAGTGAGTTACAGAATCGCAAGGCAGCTATGCTTATCAGAGTACGTTTAGTAGTTTGAGGAGGGCCTTGACAATATTTGGGATTAAAATATAGGACTGTTCGCCACTTAGAACATCATTTTATCAAATTGCTTTTAAGGGCTCGTGGAAATCGTGAAAATATTTTTTATATTTTTGCCTGGAACAGAGAAGCAATTAAGTATTTGCATTACTGAGTTTTTCATTAGCGTATAAAACGAAAAATAAAAGGTACTTTACAAACAAATCAACATTCTTTTGCTGAAGGGTTGTGAGTATACGGCTTTGTTTTAAAAGCGTCTACTTCATTAGTGGTTCCTGGTAAATATTGGAACCGACGTTTATTTAGATGTAGATTGAAGACATAGGAACACTACTGATTTTCAATATAACCTTTGAGAGCAGTTTTTCTAATATTCCCACATTGCTATTGCGGTGCTATTCAAATACTGAATTTTACGTAGCTATTGCGTAGCAATTGAAAAATTATTATATGTTTACAGTCGTAAGTATCTTTAATATCTTAGAATTATATTAACATATAAATAAGTTTAATGATTTTTGTATACTATTCTATCATTTGCAAATTATAAGTTAGCAATAATCTCAATCTAAGCTAAACATAAATCGTAATTTGTAATCCATTCTTCGTTAATGTGACATAAGATTTTTTTTGCAACTGCATTTTCATGATCATGAACCCTGTTATAAAAACATACAACCCTATTATTAAAATGAAACAGATTCACTCATTTGCATGTAATACATTGTCCTCAAGACATTTCTCATTTACGCTTTCGTGAACACTATGAGTGACAGACGTTATATTAAAGTATAAAAGACTGATAGAGGTGTATAAATTGACAAGGTTTTAAAGACTTAATTAAGGTTTATTTCAAAGCCAGACAGAAGGTAATAGAAATTTTTTCAGCCACCATCTCTACAAAACCTATTACACTGGACGGTTTCAAAAGGCTATGCATTATTCATGTCTCCTCTTAATAAGTGTCACCCTACAAATAATAGTACTTTTAGAAAATTCCGCGCTCTCGAGATACTGCAGTGATGAGGTCAAATAAAAATGTCGAACTCATGATTAAATATTCATGGATGCAAAAGCGTTAATTCGATTCACATCTTATTATTTTCGCGATGTTCCCGTGAAGAGTGGGAGCAAATACTCACGAATATGGCCATCAAAGAATGTTTTGTTAAAAGTGTAAAAAAAATCTACAAAGCTAATATCTATATCTCTCGATTAAATTAAATCTGGTCAACGAGGTTTAAATTTATATGAATAATATATAATATATTTTTGCGTTCATAAAAATAATATAATATTTTCTAAGTTGATAGTTTGCGAGTTACGAAGGGAAAACAAATTATTGGATTTGCATTACCTAACTGCCTCAAAAATCATTTAATAAAATCTGATAAAAGCCAAGCGGCTGCTTGCAGATGGTTAAAATTTAAAATATTGTAATTTATAAAATATTTAATACGCCCAAACTTTATTATACAATATATATTAAGGGAAGTATTGTGTTCCTTTGAAGAATATTTAACCGTACTTTTAGTGTTTACGCGTATCCCGTACATATTTAAACATTAACTATTTATGTGTTAGGGTAAATGTGTAGGGCTTCATAGGCATATTAGATTCTTAGGTCTCACCCTGTCATATATTTTGTTATACATTTTGCTAATACATAAACCTGGATGGCGAGCTGTACACTGGTTTTAATTCAATCTCCATTTCGACGAGTAAATAAAAGAATTGATGTAAGCATCACTCTGTTAGATGATTTGAAGTTGCTAAGCAACCTATCCTATAGGCTACTGTGGTGGTCTACAGACAACCCGTAGCCACGTATTGAAAAGTGTCGATGTAGCCTCACAACTTGTTCACTATCTGTTACGCTTCCCGCCAACACAATTTAACTTGACAACGCATAACAAAAGCCGCTCGCTCTATTTACCGCACACTCTTCAATGGGAACAATATCGTAAATGCTTCCATCTAACCTCATTTTCCAGCCATTTTGGCCATGATATTTTAAAATGTTGTTAGACCATAGTCTGTGTTTAGATAGTGAAGGAGCTCTCAAAAATCGATTTAAATACTCTCAGTTGTGTCAATACTATTTCGGCAACATGCATTTAAAAGTAGTGTTCGACGGTGAAATATTTGTCAAGCTTCTTTATGCTAACTTCTATTGGGAGCGGTAGGGTTTGCATTCACACTTAGAAAAAGGACTCAAATTTTGGCATTCTTATAAAGAATTTCACTGAATTGTACTGAATTACTAATTAAAAGTAACGGACAAAATATTACAAATCGATTAAAGTTTAAACTTTATGTTTGCTCATTCGTGTAATCAATCATTCCTTAACGACCAGGTCTGCGGTCAATAATCGATTATAAATTAAGACTGGTAGCAATGATTTATAGTTGTTTAAACCATAAATCTACGTGTCTTCAAATTGTGCGCAGTTAGTGACAGAAATGAGCAAGAATAGATGTTTTTTAAATGTAGGTGGTTGCTGTAGGCGTTCGGTCTACCATAAAACATGGCAACCCTAGTGTAAACACGATTGCGCGGCGAAGCGGCTTGGGCGGGCGGGGAGGCGCCGTCACTCGGGCGGGCGCCGCCGCGAGCTCCGGCCGCACCATGTCTGTGCGTGTAGATCATCGGGATCGAGACCGCGATCGCGAACGCTTTTCGAGACACTCGTCTCGCGCTTCAGTGGATCTAGCTTTTCCTAGCAGTTCCTCACGCGACCATTCCTTCCGATCGGTGCATTCCGGCCGAGTGCCACGCGTCGCTAGCGATGATTTGATGGTGCCCGTGCGCACGTTACGGTCCGCATCATGTCGTGCTACGTCAGGAGCGCCTCATCGGTTGCGGCGGCATCACTCATCTGCAGCAGAATGCGACAGAACCCGTCGCCCCCGTCGACACACGCTGGAACTGCCCAACAGCCGGGGTCCCAGTGTGAGAAGTCGCTCTCCAGAGCCACCACCCCCGCAGCCTGTTGAGCCCGAGATTCCTCCAGAGGACGCCAGCAAGGAGGCACGGCGGCGACGCGTAGTGGCAGCTGTGGCGGCGTCGTTCTTCATGCTGGCGCTGGCGTCAATCCTGGTCGTGGTGGTGACGCTCACCCACAGCTCCGTGATGCGCGCTCACAACCAAACAGCCAAGTACTACACGTTCTCCGTGCCGCCGCACCATCCTCTCAGTGAGCCCCGTTCATGTTGCCCCACCGTCGCCCCTCCCGCTTCGCATGAGACTGACTCCGACCCCGACAACGTGGGGCTGCGAACGACCCGCCGCGCCGACTGTCCAACAATATTTTTGGTACTTATTGGTACATTTACATTAGTAGCGTTTTCACTACTACCAAGCGATGTCCTAATTCACAGTGGACTGAACAGTTTTCAAACTATGCTGAGCTTTGTCTTCTTTCGAGCTTAAAGCACAAAGCGCACGTTCGCAACCCCCTTCTGCATGTTTAGTTGTCATGTGTTATAGTGTAGATAATAAGATCTTAATAGTTTAAGTTTTTAACAACATAATCAATCATATCTACACTCATTTAAAAAAGTTTAGACTTTTTAATACCTTCATTAATTAACGAAAGAAAAAGATTTAATTACCTTACTAATTACCTGGCTGAAGAAGCCATCTAAAAACGATTTCTATTTATAGTAAATTACAAATCAGAATCTATTTAAATTTAGCTCTCCTCTGGTATTATTAATTAGTTTTCAAGAACAATCTCCAAATTATGAAGACGCCTTAATTAAAGTTAATATAACACAGGGTGTGTTAATAATTATTAGGTACAGCCAAAGAAATCTTTGGTTAGAATTTATTCACGTCTAGATTGTTTAAAAATGTCTTGCATTATCTTGGTTATTTTTATTTCGAATTTTTAGCTTTAATCACTGTGGATCTAGCCATCCGCTTATAGGTCATTTAAATAATCATTTTATAAGATGAAGAACTTAACAGAAGAAACTTAAATTACGCAGTTTAATATTTTGTCATACTCATGGTTCTTCATTTGCTAATGATCAATCCGATTCTTAAGAGACGCCAACATTCGTGGTTTAGGTGAAAAATTAAATAGAAAAAATTCTAGTACGCATTGATAAAATAAAACAAGGTATATTGAAACACTCTATTAAAAATGTAATATTTTTTGTTCAGTTCACGGTTTCCATTCCTCAATTATTAAATTAGACGGGTCGTTTAGTTAAAAGCTTCAGCTGTTTGTTGATTATATTTTATCTATGGCTTCCATAAGCGCGTATTAATGGAAAAAAATCTAATATAATATTTACTGGGTGTTATACAAATTAGCAAGCCATTTTGGTAGTAGGTTCGCAAAAATTAAAGTTTTACAATATAAGAAAACATAAATTGAAATACGCTGTTTTACGTTAAGTTACGCTATTTCATTTAATAAAACACTATTTTGACCGGATTGAAGTTATGTATTATTATAAATTTACAACTATTTAACATAATTTTAAATTTATCCGACGTTTCGCGTGCTTTACAGCGTGCGTGGTCACCGTGACCAAACAATCAAAGACAATACTATACGCTATTTCATACATAATACGCAACTGCAAATATGTACTTGCTGTTTAATTTTGTGGTATTATAAGAATGCTGAAGATAAATTATCGCACAGCTGTTTGGTATATATGAAAAAAGGAGTTTGGAATCTTAAATTTATTTCTCTTCAAATTGAACACTTGGGACAAACTTGGTTGAAACACAGAGATTACGATTAATATTTCTTGAGACGTAAACAAAAAATTCTATCAAATTATGAACGTAGCTTTAAATATTTGTTTCGAAATATAACGTAATAATATCGAGGATAACTCGCGTATGCGGTTGGAATTTAAATGTTTCTCGTATCGTAATGGGTTTTCAAATATTTTTCGTTTTGATGTAATTACATTTCACGAGCTAACAATTTTTTTTTATTTACAAGGAAACTTAAAAAAATAATGAGATTTTGAAACCACTTAAGAAACTCTCACCCAGCTTTGCCACTTAAGAAGACGGTGGAGCTTTAAGTACTACGGATAATGAAGTCATCGTTTTAATTTTATAATAATAAAAATCACGAATCACGAAAAGACTTAATTTATTATTAACGTTTCCTGCGATGTTTGGTTTACTGAATGTTATCAACGTTGCTCTCGGGCCTGTAATATTTGTTTGTACCGTTCCCCTTTATTATGTTACTTCCCTTTTTCTCACAACATTATTTTAAATTATCTTTCTTAACTACACGAGCGAATCAAACTCATGTATTTTTTTTCACCTAAGAAATGTTACGTTCTAAGGTCGATTTCAGTTAATCAAATGAAATTTAATTGACTGAAGTAGTATATTGTATATTTATAATTGTGTAAATTATGACGCGTGAAGTGAATTCTGGCCTTTTTTTAAATTAATGGTTGATGAATATAACACCGATGTATACGGCCAAATGGCAAAACAAAAACTCTTCTTGTCTTTATTGCAAGTCAATTGTCAGTTTTTTTTACTTTATAACAACAAATACAAATGTAAAAACCTAATTATAAAGAATAAAGCGCATACATTTGTACTTAAGTATTTGTTTACGTGATTTTATTACATAAAAACTTGTTTTACAAAAAAAAATCTGACTGAGAAGTGGATTTTTAGAAGCATTTCTTTACTGCGATACTAATACCGTCTTAGAAAGTGCCAAGTCCGTAGACCGCTGTAAGAATAGAAACTTAATGATGGCTAAATGTCAAAATCCAAAATGTTTAACCTAATCCTAATCTCAGTTCGACACAAAACAGAACGAATTTCGCTGAAACAGTTATATTATGTTCTAGTTTCCGTTTTTTTCGATTTGTTGCTACTTTTACGACTCGAATTTCTTATAAAACATAATCTAGGTAAAATAGATATTTTATTCTTGCGGTTATAAATCAGTATACTCGGATGTGGCTGTGTTTACGTACCCTATAAACAATGACGTCAGACTTTTTCGACATGTGTTATTATTTTTAGATCAGTAAGTGAACGCTGTAGAACATTATTAGTTTCGCAAATAGAGAACAACATATGGGATTAAACTATTCTCTCGAATAATATATTATATTCAAGTTGATTGATTATTGTTTCTTCTTAGCTTTCTATTGTTTATATCCACAATAAACGAGCGTTTCTGATTCGTCGTTTCGATTCGAGCGAATTGAAGTTAAACTACAATTGTATTAATCTTTTTTTCATTTGTTTTTATTTTTTGAGTAAATTAGGGGCAATTTCTGTCACTATTTCATATTTTATTATCTTTAACGTAAGTCGTGAACCATATTGCGATTTTTGTTGTAATACGATTTTTGTTATCATGCAATACTAACTGTCGAGTCTGCCTTTTAAATTTACTAATAAATAAAACTAGCCTTTTCTATAAGTCCTTAAAAACTGGACGACCCACTTCCCGTCGAGTATTTAAACTAAAGTATTAAAATGTAAGTCAAGATGCTCTTACCGTAAAAGTGCATTAAAAGGCTGCAGATATTTCGTGATGAACATTTACATCGAAATTGCACCAAAACCAATATGAATCTACGCTTTTACAGTTAAAAAAAAATTAACCTTATAAACTAAAGTTATCAGTAATAATTTACTGCAGAAGTGTAAGGAAAATCAGCCATTTTAATTACGTTAAAGATTGAGACTTGAGAAGATTTTTATAGAGTTAAAATGTTTGATAAAAGCCTCAAACTAATGTCCATTAATAGACATTTTTTAGTCTTTATAGAAATCCGTCATTGTCTTTGGTTTACACTTTACATGTGTAATATACATTTATATAAAACTTCTTTGACGAATATAAACCGCGACGCGGCAGCCGATGATTGTTGAATAGCACTCGAAACGTCATGTAAATATGAATTCAAGTTATTCGGTTTAAAGTTCTATCAAAGTTTTATTTTTTTAAGAATAGAATTAGTTACACCATTATAACTCAAGAACTAAAATTTTTTGTTCGGAATATTTTAAACTATTTATAACCGCAAGAATAAAATATCTGTTACACCTAGATTATGTTTTAAAAGAAATACGGGTCGTAAAAGTAGCAAAAGACCTATTAAAATATGATAATCATCAATTTAAAAAAAATCGTCAAAGAAAACATCAGTCAAAGTATTTGTGTTTTAAGTGGTTTAAAAAACGCAAAGCTGACAGTTTTGTTGTCTATGATTTGATGATTTAAATTTATATACGATAAAAAAATATTGTAATTTAATATTACATTTAAATCATAAAACTGCTCATTCATTGACTGTTAGGTGGAGCAAGATTAACTAATAGAAAATTATCGCGATTATGACAGTTATAATTATTGAAGTATCACAATTTCGACAGATTAAATGTCATTTTTGGCAAATCTTTTTTTGATATTTATTAATACCTCTGTTATTTGTTAAATCTAAGTTGTTAATCTTCACTAAGTTAGAATCGCGAAATATTCATCTCCAAAACTTTTCGAATTCTTCATAATACTTTGAAATATTTGACCTTTGTGAATACTTAAAGACGAAGTTATTAATTGTTATTTAAACTAATTTCTTGACCGTTGTTAGCCTAATGGTTAAACCCAACCCTGTGTGCGTTTGAACCTCGGCTGAACTAATGAATTTGTGTTTTTATGTGCGCAATTATTCGGACATTAATAAGGTTTCATACCGAATCAAGACTTAGCGGTAAATATGACTTACGTATGGAAAATCCGAGTCGTACATAGTCTCGACTATGAATCTTGCCGCTAGAAGCAAAAATCCACCTCACGCATGGAAGGCTGGACCTTCATGCCCATAAATAAGTATTATTAATTAAACAGACTCAGAAAAACACCAGTACCCCACCCCTATGAAGATCTTCGGAAATTTACACAATCCACTTTTCCAAAGAACTGTCTTCGACTAAATTATTATAATATTTAGTTTTTTTTAAAACCCTTTATTATCTGGGTAATTTGACTAACAACAAAAAAGGCCTTAACAAGGCCTAATATGATTAACGAAATTCTATTGTTTGTTAATGTGGATGTTATTGACCCCATCAGTCATTTTTTTCATACAGTTTTGTATAAAAATTGCATACGCCCAGAAGCGATTCAAATGAAGATGGACTACAACACTGGGGAATAAATCAAAACAAAAATAATACCTTTCCTTTCAAATTTTAAAATATATAACATACATTATTAAGTCAATAATTGCATACCTTTATAATAAACTTCAAACACCCCGAACGAGGAGGTTTCCAATACGTTTAACTTTGTTATACTACAATAGAATTCTAAATACGTTGCTTCAATTTCGTGCGTTCGCTGTAATATTAAAACATAAGAGTTTACCAACAAGCTCGTAATCAGTGCTTAAATACTCATTAATTATTAA